AATAGTGCTTTTTTTTTTTCCCCCCCAGAAGAAAAAAAGTTGCGATATAACACATATGATCATGAAAATAATCAAACTTGCAAAAAAAAAATTTCTCACTTTACCATTGGAAAATTTGGATTTTTAACCTGCCACAATCAAAAACATAAGACTTCATTATTGTATGTTGAAAAAAAATGTGAAATAGTGTATCTTTATTCTACGTAGTTCTTACTATATTAATTACAAAAAAAAAGACACACACAACGGAACAAATGTCTTCTATTTTTCCTCGCAGTATTGTAACTTTATTCTTGTAACGTCACCCTGAAAACAGCTCGGTCAAAAATCACCCAATTTTGGTCAAAAATTAGGCTGACCCTGTATTCAGGACAATTTGACCCAATTTTGGGTTGTTTTGTAGAATGGAGAAAGATTCTCCAAGCATATACAAAAATGACTTGCATGCAGAAAGTTGGGTCAAATTGACCCAAGTAGTCAGTCAGTCCGCTGTGTGACCAAAAATTGGGTTATTTTTGACCCAAGAGTTTATCATGACTTTAATTTGCTAACATTTAGATTTTTGGGGGTGGGAGGGGGGGGGTCACTTTTCTCACCGTAGTTCAACTTTATTTTTTCATCCTGGCAAAATTCAAATGATGTTGCTATCAAAGCTTTTTTTTTTTTTTTTTTTTTTTTTTTAATTGTACAAATATTCATTCATTTTTAGAAACGTCAGTCATTGTCAGCATTGTAAATAGGTAGACCAAACCCTCACAACGCATTTAAAATATCACAGCTATGCACTTGAATTGCGTTGAAAGTAACTGCAAGTGCTTTTTGCTTTCCAAAAGCCAAAAAGCACCACTCACCGACTTGGGCGCGTCGCACTGCCTCAGTCTGGCGTCCGTCCGCGCGCCCCAGGGCGCCACCGGCTGCAGGAGCGCGCTCAAGAGCACCCAGCCGAGCCCCCGCGCGCACGCCATGCTGTCGAGGTGACGGCAGCACCCGCGGCTTTGTCGCGTAATCCCTTCTCTCCCTCTTTCGCGTGTTTCGCCGCTCCTGCCCGCGTCGCTTTCAAAAGCGTCACGTTTTGAGAGCCGGCCTCACATGAGCCGCGCGGCTGGAGGACCATCGCGCCTCCTCGCCATCCCCGCACCGCGTTGCCTCACACAAAGTGCGTCTTCTCCTCTCTTGGTCTTGTCGGTGCGGAGCGAGTCACTGTTTAAAAGTCCTTTGGGAAGTTTCCGCGGCGCGCTCCACAAGTTTGGAGCGCCTGTGCGCTGGAGGGAGTGGGAGGTGGCGTGCTGCCCCCCCCCCTCCCTCCCTTCCTCCTCCTTAGAAAGAGGGGGAGAGTGGGGTGGGCGCAGGTTAAGAGCGGGATGACAGGTTTGCTGTAAACTCTGAATGCATATTTCAAGTACTTTGAGGCTCGCGCAAAGCTTCCTGCAAATATCCTGTCATTGTGGCCTAAGCACCTCCAACTCGATTTCTAATCAATTCTGCTCACATGGCGATCTTTGTGAAAAAGATGAAAGTTGTTATGTCCATGAAATGAATCATTGCTTTGGGAATTAATTCATCAAAATGTCAAAGAATTCATTAAACCTTTTTCTTTTTTCTTTTCTTTTTTTTTTTTTTTTAAATCATTTGTGCTGTGGCCTCATTGGAGTGGACATAAATTAGGAACAAAAATGTACACTTTTTTTTAACTGAATTTTATTTTATTTTATTGTTCACAAAAATCAGTTTCTGAATAATTGGTCACACATTTTTTTTTTTTAATTTTAAAATTTTAATTATTGGGCACTTACAAATACTCCTCACTGGTGCTGATAAAACGGGATAATAATGGCACAGATGTGCCTTTGGATGCCCACAATAGAAGGCCACTGGAAAATGTGTGGTTTTACTGTAAGTATTGGTGATTTGGTGGGGTGTTGGCGTGGGTGTTTGCTCAGGAGTCTGAACTGGTATGACCACCATTGGCTGTGCACAGGCCAAGACGTTTACTGCACAGGTCTGCCCTTGGCTGCCCACAATTAAAGGCCAGACTGAAATGTGCATTTTGGCTGAATACTGCTGTTTGTTTGTAAGACCCCCCACCCCCCCCCCAAAAAAAAATACTTGTTACAGTTTTTTCATTCCCCTTCACCCCATTACAGCAGCATTGAGGCCCTTTGTCGCAATTTCCAGTCCTATCCAGCAGATGGAGTGGAGTGGAACAAGCGAGCCCTTGCTTGTTCCACTCCACTTCTGCTTGGAAGCAAAAAAAAAACCAAAAAACAAACAAAAAATACGGCAGGAAAAGCCTTCTTGAGCAGCTGAACTTTAATTGGGGTCATTCGGGTGTACGTTACATGACGCTAGGTGTTTGCTGACGTTTGTATGTCAACGGTTAATTCCAAAGACCAACCACAACCCAGTTGAGACACACTTGTGTCATTTTTACTTCCCCAGCTTGATTTTTTTTTTTTTTTTAACCGTTTCGGTTTTATAAGTTAAATGGTCGCATTAGAAACGTTTTGGAATGTCACTCTACCTTTGTGTGTCGACTTTTTTTATGTCTATGAGTTTGCTGTGATAATTTGCTTTAGGGCGAATGCATTTGATTGCGAGGCGGCTCGTGCGTGGCCCTTTTTTTTCCCCGCTGCGTTTCCCCAAATGCGAATGAACCATCCATCATGCGCCGTCCCGTGCTTCCTCCTCGGCAACCTTGCATTCATCTCCGCCCGTTTTGTTTTCTTTCTGACTGGCCCGCGACGGCGGCGGCTCGCCCTTTACGGGGATGACGAATGCTCAACAAATAAACAAGCTTGACTAAAGACAACCGGGCGATAAGTGTTTTGTTTATGTTCCGGTCCGGCAACTCCTGATGTGGAACAGACCCGTTTGAAATAAACACAGAGAGGGAAAGTGGCCCCCTTTGCTCCGCTTTGACCCTCGCCATTGTCCCCAGCCGAGGGCCCGGTGACAGAGTCAAGTAGCGGGGACATTTATCACAGAGAGGCCTCACACTGTCGGCCCCCAGGAACCCCCCCCCCCTCCTCCCACTGGACTGAAATTCGACGGACGTGGTACAAGCACTTCTTTGTCGCGGGCCGTGTTCTCCTCGCGTCTTCTTCGACCCTTCAAGCAGCACCGCCGCGACACTCAGGGCGCTTTTCTTTGACCGGCTTGTCTTTTAACGCAGTCTCACGCTCCCCCCCCCAAAAAAAGGCTGACCTCTGACTCTTGAGTTTTTTGCTTCACGGGCACCATTTATGAAGACATTTCTGAAAATCTTACCGCATTCTTCTGCGGCTTTAAGTCTCCTTTGTCCCCTCGCGGTTGCTCTCGTTCCGGCACGGGTGTGAGATTTCAGTTAGCGGATTGCGGCGGCTCTTAACGCGGGCACCTGTGCGGTCGGCTGTACCTGCTCAAAAGCGCACTTCACTCCTTTGAAGGAGCTCTCGCACATTCTTGGCCCGTTCGAAAGTGGGCTTCTCAGCTGCCGGCTGCGGGAGATTCCTGGACCGGCTCCAGGAACTTACGGCATGCCGCACAAAACGACCAGCAAGCAAAGTACGCTTTCAACTGAAATGCTGAGGGGAAGAGATGGGACACGCTGTTTTGGTTGCGCAGATCCTCTCGTAGATTTGAGTGTGTCGCTTGATGGCATCTTGATTGAATGTCGGCAACCTTGAAATGACGGCGTTCCCTGAAAAAATTTGACGGTGTGCATGTTCTCCGTGAGACTTAAAGCATCTTTTGTCTTTCCGCACTCTGGAAGCTGTACTGAAAGTTCTCGGAAGGTCATGTTGAAGGTGGGCGATGGCTGTCAATAGACATCTCAGCTGATCCGCACAAATGGATAAATTGCTTTTATTGGATTTATTTAGAAGGGAATGCGAAAGCACGCTCCTTCTAAGTGGCAGGTTCAATTTTACATGTGTAGTGTGACATCCCTTATTCACAGTAAAAATAAAAAAATTAAAAAACACACTTTTGACAGTGAAATTGATTCTTAAAATCATGAATTAGTGTGCGGCTAATCCATGTGATCTGAACCGGTATCGGCCGATCGCACTCAAAGATGATTGTGTCGGGACTGGCCGCATAAAACCCGAAACACCCCAAAAAAATAAAATATATCATCCTATTGGTCAAGTGGTTAGCGCGTCGACCTCACAGTGCAGAGGTTGTGGGTTCAATTCCAACTTTGGTCTTCCCGTGTGGAGTTTGCATGTTCTCCCCGTGCCTGCGTGGGTTTTCTTCGGGTACTCTGGTTTCCTCCCACATTCCAAAAACATGCACGGCAGGCTGATTGAACGCTCAGAATTGACCCTAGGTGTGAGTGTGAGCGCGGATGGTGGTTCGATTGGCTGGCAACCGGTTCAGGGTGTCCCCCGCCTACTGTCCGAAGACGGCTGGGACAGGCTCCAGAACCCCCCGCGATCTTTGTGAGGATAAAGCGTCTCGGAAAATGGATGGATGGATGGTCGTCGTGCGCTACGACGGACTGGTGGAGAAATTGTAGGTTCGAGATCCACCGCTGGCCCAACACTTCTTCATCACATTTGGACGTCGGGAGAGGCCTTGCATTGCCTTTACTGTCACTTCTAGTGAGGGTCAATGTTTGGGGTTCGAGAGTGTCAGCTGGAGATTTTACTACTGGCCACGTATTGGTGGACCAACACTTGAAGGCCGGTAGTGGCTGTTGAAGGGATCGCAGGCCAAATATTTCCAAAGCAAAAGATGAAGTGTAAGACAAATTTAAAAAAAAAAAAAGAAAAAGATTGCTGGAGAGTTTGCACTTTGGAGACCTTGAGAGGAACAAGGGAGTGTAAACTGAATTTTCCGAAGGGTAGTAATTACCTCCGCCAAGAGAGATTATGCTTTCATGGCCCTTTTGTAAGTGAGCCCTATTATGCAACAACAATGTCATAATTTTCGCAAAAGTCTCCAGATAAATGCTGGGGACTGAATTTTAATTCCCAGTCTTGTTATCACTGCGTGACAGGAACTTTTTTTTTTTTAAACAACATTCCGCCCAATTCTTCAGTCAATAATGCATACATGTTAATCTCAGCATTTAGGCAAGGTCAATTTATTTGGATATCACCACAAGGCAAATCGATAGTGTTGTTTCTTCACTTTGTTTGGTTTCTGGTTCTGGTAACACTCACTCAGCCAGCAGCGGATTTCCCCGAGGGATCTGGAGTTATCATTACGAAACGCAAATTTCTTGCAATACATTTCCGTTGTTTCAAAATCATTCGGAGCTTTTTGGACCAACGCTTGGATTTTAAAATCAGTTTTTTTTGACTCACAAGAAGCCAGTGCTCGAGATTTTAGCTCCAGATTCCTGATCCTCGTAAGAAGTTGACCAACTGCAGCTTTCACATTGACTTTTTCTTTCGAAAGTCACAGTTCCAATACCCCTGTCGACTGAAAACAAATAAACCGGCGGCTCTTTTATATAAACGGACACGACGAGGACGCAACGTGGCCCCGGCGGTGAAGATCCGATGTCTGCTTGTCCTTGCAGCTCAGCGGCTGCGCGTCTTGCCTCATACCAAGCAGGAATCTTGCCTCCAAAAAAAATGCGGTTGTAACTCACCGCCCTCAGAAATCATAACTTGTCGATGAGCGTGGAATGAAAGAGGTGCTTCTTCTGTTACCCTCGAAAACCGCGCCACATGAGGCGCACGCTCGCCGGCTTGTGAGGCCCCCTAGTGGACAACAGAGAATCTTAGACGCTGCAGATCGAGGATGATATGTGGTTGACCCCGCTTCAAAGAAAACGCTCGGAGATGATGGATCCCAAGGTGGGGCTCATACCTTCGGGCAGCCATAGTTGAGAGGGGGAAACTAAGACGGATCGGAACGGCCAAACTGAACAGCCGCTCTGTCTTCTTTCAGCTGAAAAGCACACATACACACACACATATATAGAGGAGACACAGATGCACTCCCCCTCCCCTCCTTTTCTATCTCCACCCGTCTCCAGCTCTGGGCTCCAATATCCTCTGTCCCGCTTTGAAGATGTCAAAGAATAATATTGACGCAGTCTCCGGTGAAATGTTTTTATGCGGTTTCCCTTTCCAGATAGCTTGGGAAAATGAGGGAATTAGGATGCGGCAGAGGAAGAGGAGGAGAAGGGGGAGGACAGTGTCAGGATGGGAGTGAATGTGTCCACCGGCTGCTGACAAGTAGGCAAGTCTCGGAAAATAATGTGCAGAGTTCGACTGCACTTTGTGCCAGACATGCGCCGGACAGGAAAACAGGACCCG